CAAGGTTAAGATTCATTTTAAATTTTAAAATATAAAATGGTGTAATCGTCTGTGAGAATATTTCGTTTTGTTTTTTTGTTTTTTTTTTTGTTATTCTTCTTCTTACCGTTCTCGTAATAAGAAAAAAATAAAATAAAATAATTCGATGTCAACGAAAAGAATCGTTTAAGAAAAAAAAAAAAAATCAATAAACATATAAGTACAGAAATAATTAACAAACCCCAAAAAAAGAAAAGCAAGGTGAGTTAGGGTCAATGATATATTATAGTATGTTTCGTTGGTCAATGTAACTGTGTCCAGTGTATGATGTCCAAGGTCACATTAATATAAATCGAAAGAAGGGGGAATTAAACAGACACATATCGAATAATTAAAATCATATCACGTATATAATCGAGAGTCCGTCCATTCGCATAACAGAATTATTACTTACCGACACCTGGGCCCATTGCTTTGTTATCCACTTTCGGCCTAACAAACGAGCTTTGTTAACGTTACAATAGTCGTATTTATTTGATTATAGAATAATAACCGTCTATATAAAATTCAATCGTAAAATTTCATCCACGAAATCAATTGTCTTTGAAATTAATCGTAATCAAAATACATGGAATAGAATATACGAAAAACGAATTGTTCTAATCATTCGAAAAAATCATTTATAAAACAATTTCTTTCTTTTTTCTAATTGCTAAATATTTCATACTTTTTATTCGAATAAATTTCATACGTGCATGTATAGAATAATATATATATATTTTTCATAATTAATGAATATACTTACTCAAACACACGAGTAAAATAAGGAAAAAGAAAATAACAATGCGAAAAATACAAATATAGAATTCAAATATACTAATATCACATTCGATTTATTCATTTTGACGAATCGACAATAATTCTTTTCTACCAATCATCTTCAACAACACACTGACCACGCACTTTCTATCGAATTATGTAAGGATCACAAGAAAAATAAAAATAAAGCCAAGATTTGCGATTTAAAATAAAGAACAGGAGAGAAATGACTGACATAAGTGAAAATGTGGGAGGTGGGGGGGGGGAGAAGTTAAATGTAAAAGGATCAAAATAATTAAAACCAAAACACAAATTTATATTTCTTACAAATTTTCTTATCGTTAACGAACTTTTAGGTAAATGTTAAAAATCAATATTTTCACACAAAAATTCTATATATATTTCGTTCGTATGAAAGTTTTAATACAATAAACGAGTGCCACGCAAGTGTTATACGGAAACCGCACCTAACAGTAACATGATACATGCAATTCCTCTTACTCATTTTGACGGGTTTAATTACACTAACTAGAAATGATCGAATGGGTTAATGCCTCTTAAGAAATATGAAACAACACTGGAAACTATTATTTTTCACTATATATATATACATATATATATATATATATATATATATATATGCCAAATCGTGTTTTACGAATCATATTATTATAATTGTTAATAAGTCTTGCAAAAGTTTGCTTAAAAGAAAAAGAAAGAAGGAAAAAAAAAAAAATTCATTAATATACACACGTCTATATATGAGTTCTTACTCGTATTTTATATTTATCAGATTAAGAATATTAAAATGTCTTGTGGTATGAAATAAATATAAATTAAAAAACGTGTGTTTATTAATTTGTTATTTTTCGGTTGAATATATTTTGTCCATAAAACAAGTTATTTTACATATATAAGTATAATCGTTTATACTTATATTATATACGTATAAATATATATGTGCATTACGTACGTGTCGATAATTAAATAAACGAATTAATCCAAAAAGAAAATTAGAAATTGTAATGATAAATTTGAGATATCGTATATGATAATATCAATAAATTTGATCAACTATTAGACAAACGGACAAATTATTAACACATCGTTGTGATCCAAAAATTGTTGTATCTTTTATTTCCCAATCGTAATTTTATAAATACAAAATATAAACAGAAAATTATTTTTATAAGATAATTCACAACAAAATATTATTATACGAAAAAAAGAATGAATTTATTAACATCTAAATAAGTAAAATAAACACGTGTACTTTCTTATATAATAACAGAGAGGGAAGTTTGATGATGAGTTATACAAATGTATATTGAGGAGGGAAAAAAAGAAGTCTTCTTTCTTTCTTTCTTTATTTTCTTATGAAAAGAAATCTCTTTCACTTGCAAAAGATATCACCAAGAAGAAGGAGGATCACAACGTTTACCATGGAGTGAATTTGAGTTTCGACCATGGCCCAGAAAACGAAGTAACTCACGAGCCTACCTCTTTCCACACGCGTCCTCGCGATACGTAGCATTCTACGGTATGCCAACTTGCGTAATCTTTGCACCACTGTCTGTCCCCTCGTTCAACTCACTCTATTCCACCATCTTGGACTTCGATTTTCGAATACTAAACATCGTGTTACGTATATATATATATATATATGAGTCGCGACGTATATATTGTATGTATGAATATATTTATATATGTCGACAAACATAATAAGAATTTATAGTATCACTTCCATTCGAGATTATGCTTCTTCTTGCCGTTTGCAGTCAATTTTTTATTCTCATCTTTTTTTTCTTTTACTGTGTTTTTTTTTGTCTTTTCTTTCTTTACGTTTTGGTAAAAGTATCTTTAAAACGCAACTCGTGTAGATACTACATATTAATGTAAAATCATCTACGCGTAATATAATATTATATGTTGTTAGGCATATTTTTTGTTTTGTTTATAGGAATACTTACGACGTTATTTTTGTCGCTGAAATAATCATTTTTTTTTTGTCACTAATATAATATAGAGAAACTAGATTTTATATAATGAAGTAAGAATTATGGAAATAATTATAATTGTATACTTTTTTTTTTTTCTTTCTCTCTTTAATATTTAGTTTTAATAATATATCATATATTATAAATCAACAAGAGGAAAATAAATATTTATCTCAAATTTTTCATTAATAATAAAATTATTTACATTAATATTGTGTCATAAATATATCGATGCAAAACTGTGTTATATATTCGATCTATGTTTATAATATACAATATATTAACAATAATAATATATAATATAACGATATCTTTCCATTTACTAATTGTAAAATAAATTGATGGTATTGTTGAACGAATGGTAATATCGTTGTATATTGAAAATTTTGGAGAATATTAAAATAAACATTATTTTCTTAGCAAATGATGAATCATACAAAACAAAACAAAAAACGATTAATAATTACTAACGTGAAAATTCCAGAATCTTAATCATTCCGATCACAAAACTCTCACACACAGAGACACGTATACGCGCGTGACTTGATTATACAAATAAATACGTAAAGATTCAAATTATAACGAGTAATTAGTTACGATCTATGGAAATACAAATAACGTCATTTTTCTTCGATAATTTTAATGATATTTTTTGTTTACACGAACAGAGAATAATAATATATGTCAAATTAAATGTTGAACGAACGTTAACTAGACGACTCATCACTCGCGATCTAACATTTAACAAATATTTTAATACAACAGAGAATAAAATCTAAAGAAAAATTTTACGATCGGTTAGATCTTGTAAAACCTAATGACTGCTATCAACAAATTTATAGATAGATAGATATAGATTACAAAACAATAACGTGTAATACAAATAATCTATAAAAAAAAATGATTAAATAATAACGAACATTATTAATTAGTTTAAATAAAAATTTCTTTGAAATTTATCATTTCATTCTATAATATAAAAATATGTGTATATAAATTTTATTATGATATATTGTAAAATATATATATACATACACACTTACTCAATATATTGCAAAATACATATTAAATATAAGTTGACATATATATATTATATATATATATATATTATATATATATATATATTATATATATATATATATTATATATATATATATATTATATATATACGTAGTATATACCATTTAAATGAAAGAAAAACATTGAAACAAAATACCTAGTATGTACGTTGTCCACTGAAACGACCAATCGTTGGCATGACGAAAAGAAAGCCGCCTTCTTACATAATAAATACTCTCGCTTGCTCTTTTTAAACTGTTCACCATCTGGAGCTAAGAAGTTCGTAGTGTTGTAAGTAAAATTTTACAAGATCGATTTACTTTCTTCCAAAGGTGTACCAAATATATAGATTAATGTGATACGTTTGTTAATAAATATATATTTCTAAATTTTTCAAAAGAAATTTATACTTTTTCAACACTTATTAAAAGTTACGTTCGTACCATTGATAATAATTCTATATAAAAATAAATAATACGATTAAAAATGTATGATAAATTTTAATTGATCTAACATAAGCTAATTTGTTTATCAATATTTATGCAAAAAATTAGGTATTATTAAATAAATAAATATAAAATTGTATAAATGATCGATATATCTTTGTGTATTACATTTAATTATTATTNTCTAACATAAGCTAATTTGTTTATCAATTTTTTAAATCATTTTATACATAAATATATATATTATACAATAATATAATATATATCGTATAATAAAAGATTAATTATATAGAAATATTTATGCAAAAAATTAGGTATTATTAAATAAATAAATATAAAATTGTATAAATGATCGATATATCTTTGTGTATTACATTTAATTATTATTATTATTATTTAACGACCTCAATTCGTTGAAAAAAAAAAAAACTATTTCTCATATGCAATTACTAAATTTAAACAATAATAGGTAAGATTAGTACTTGGATGGGTAATCATTTTTAGTGAAAAGTATATAACACTATTTTAAGAAATTATTATAAAGAAGTTCCTCAAACCCTTAAAAGGGATAGTAATCAGTATAATATATCTAATTATTTTCTTATCGCAATCTACACTCTTTCAAAACTTAAAAACATATCTTCTTCCATGTACAAACAGCTTAAAAAAAGACACTTACTTAAATTTATTTGTGTTGCAGCGAAGACAATACTACAGACGGTGGTGGGGGTATAATAAACCCAAATTTTTCAATGGAAGTTATACAAAACAATGCGGAAAGTAATCTCGATTTAACAATGGTCACAACAAATATTCCTTTATCCACGCCAGGATTAAATAATCCTTCTTGGAATCGGCAACAAGCAGTCAGCGTTAGACACGCTTTCAAAACTTATGGCAGTAGTAAAAATCCAAATCACGTTATACAAAATCTCAGTATGACGGTATCGAAAGGATCAATGTAAGTATTTAAAATAAATTTAATTCATAACAACAAAATTCTTATATATATATTTCTTTTATATTAATATATTATAAGAAATATTATTATAATATATTAATTTTAATATAAAATATATATTATATATGATAAATAAAAAACAAATTATATTAACAAATAACAAAATGAGAGAGAGAGAGAGAAAGAGAGAAACAACCAATCGATATAGAATACGAATTAACACTAACCGAACCATTTTTTACGTTTTTATAAGAAGATCGTAAATTTGTCTATAATTATAACTTATTATTAGTTTATCGCTATAATTAGAGATCATTCGTCATAAAATTAAATCATAAGTATCGAAAATTTACAAGAAAAATAATTATTGGACAATAACGATGTGTCAATGTTTTGTTTTTTATTTTTCTTCTTTTTTTTTTGTTTTATACAAATCATTCGCGTCTTACCTATTAAAACGTTTACGCAGTATACTTAAATCGAAATTATCCTTTCTTTTTTTTTTTTAAGTCTTATAATTTAATTTAATAGAAGAAAAGAAACGAAAATGAAAATGGTAAAAAAAAAAGAAAAACCAACAAATTGATATCATTAAAATTTCTAGCAACGATCTCGATCAATTCCAAGTACTCGGTGTTGAATCATTGAAAAAAAGTTATTTATTTATTATTCCAAACGGCGAGCTGAAAAAAAAAAGAAAAGAAAACAAATTATAATGTTTGACTCGACTTATATAAATGACGTCACTCACTAACTAGAATCCCATTACATCCATTATTTCATTTGTCCTTCTTTATGTTGAAAACAACATATAGATTGACAAAAGGAAACAATAAATCTTACAATTAGTAATCGAAAACGGAAATTCATTTTTTTCTTCGTTATTATTTGACATAATAAATCTTTAATGCATTCTTATCAAACCGTACGAGAAAATGAACAACTGTTATTATTGTAAAATAATAAACTATCTTTAAAGGATAGACAGACAATCATTCTCAATTGAAATTATCTCTTAAAATTACGTACGATATTTCTATTTCGTAATTCTTATTCTCGTGTTAAATGAAATTCATCCACGTTATGTGATCTATAAATTTCAAATATTTCTACTACTCATCGAAATAAAATGGAAATATAATAATCGTTAGAATATGTCTATTATCGTATCATGATTATCAACAACATTTATTATTTTGACGAAGAAAAATTCCCAACGAAATTTAGAACATAACTTTATTATATTATCGCGAAATTAAATAGAAAATGATTGCGTAAACGTATGAATCTTATCTTACAATTAATATTAAACTTATCTTTGTATTTATCATCGAACGATTATTATATTTTTTACATTTTCGTTATTTAAAAAATGTAATATTTAAACGGTTCACTCGAAAACGATTGATTTCATTCAAATTTCTCATTTTCAAAATTTCTTAATCTCTCACACAACGTCTTTAAATGAAAATTAATAAATATTACTAATATACGCGAGAAAAATACTTGCTCGATATTTATAATATTAACGAACTGTACGACAATTAAACTTCTCTCTAAATTTCTATAAAATCAACTTGAAATAATTCATTCAAAAGAATTCATCGTAACTATTTCACGAGCAACATTTTTCCTAAATAAAAAATTGAAAACAAATATTTAAATATATAAGAATTGTTTTTACGATATTACAAAAAAAAAAAAACAGAACAAATTTTCATTATATTCTCTTAATATTTACGAAACGAAAATAAAATGAAATAAAACCTGTTTGAGACTAACCACGTATACTACACACACACACACACACACACACACGAATCTAGAAAAATAGGCATAGATAAAAAATCTCTCGGATTCTCCGGGACGAATTGCGAAATAAGTTTGGTTATAAAAAAAAAAGAAAAAAAAAAAAAAAAGTCCGAATAAAGAGAAGAAAAAAAAAATCTTTGATGTGTTTTTAATAGATACGGTCTACTGGGAGCCAGCGGTTGTGGCAAAACAACATTACTATCTTGCATCGTTGGCCAAAGACGCTTAAATTCTGGCGAGATTTGGGTTTTAGGTGGGAAACCTGGAACAAAGGGTTCCGGTGTACCCGGTAAAAGAGTTGGTTACATGCCACAAGAGATAGCGCTTTATGGTGAATTTACGATACGCGAAACTATGTTATACTTTGGTTGGATATTTGGCATGGAAACACCTGAAATTGTCGACAGGTTGCGATTTTTACTTCAATTCTTGGATTTACCGTCGCAAAATCGACTCGTCAAAAATCTCAGGTACGATCAATGACGAATACTAATTTAGTTGGGGGGTGGGAGGGGAATAGGAATCCATGCGAAAGATTCTGATCTTCCATTATTGAAAAAAAATCTGTTTTTTTTTTATTTTTATAATTACAACAATTGTAGAATATATTATTTTGTATTAATTTTTCTAAAACACTTTCGTATAATTTTTATGTTCAACTGAATAAATAAAAATGTAAGGGTAGTTCGATAAAATAATACTCTTTGAAAATATCTCATAATATTATTTCAAAAATCTTATATAAAATTACTTTTGTAGCAGATTAAACGTTACGTGGATTCAAATAATTGTTCTCATTTTAAAACAATGATATTTATTTATGAAAAATGTGTTTTTGTTTTTTTTTTTGCAAAATAGCGGTGGCCAGCAAAGACGGGTCTCGTTCGCAGTGGCTCTCATGCACGATCCTGAACTTTTAATACTCGACGAACCAACCGTAGGTGTTGATCCATTACTCAGACAGAGGTAAGTTTCTTGCATTTCAAAAAAAATTACATTCCAACGTGTTGTTATTATTTATCTTAGATAAACTCGTTTTATTTTTCTTTATCTTACAATTAGTATTAGACTCGAAAACTCTCTTTCACATTAAAGTTTAATTGAATAAAATATTTTAAGCACACCACACATCGATTCCAGGAAAGATATTTACATGATCAAATATTGCATATTCTTAGCTACAAGTTTCAAACTTTCTTTTTTTTCTCTTCACCCCCCCCCCCCATCACTGATTAAACAATGAAACACGAACGATATCTACGGACTTACTTTCGTGTTTTATTTTCGTTTTACTAGGAGATGGGATCTTCAATTAACACAAGTGTACACACAAATTTTTATTTAATTATATATATATATGTATATGTCACGTGTTTAAGGTGTTTAATTCCGTTATTGCATGGAATGAAGGTTTTAATTAGGTTTCCTTCGCGAAAATTATGATAATGAAAATGAAACAAAAGCAAATTATGTATCCTATTACGTTAATCATAATGAACTTGTTATTAATTTTTTGCTTTATTCTCCTTTTTTTGAAAAAAAAATCTGACAAAAAAAATATATATATAAAGGTTTTTGTAACGAGAAAAAAAAATATACATTTTGCATACTCTACGATATCGTTTGTAATTCATATATCATACTTACATGTACGTATTATATCCAGAGTAATATGTAAACGTGTTAAAGTGTTACATCCCGTATACACATGTTTATACACATTAATGCATAATAGATAGATAAAGGATAAAGTATGAATTCTTGAAAATGTTCATTAAAATTGCATGACAATTGATTGTTGACGAGTAAAAATAGTTGACGACATTACAAGCTAGTATACTTCTAGTAAATTGTATTTGTTTTTTCTTTTTTTTTTTTTTTTTTTTTTTTTTTTTTTTTTTTTGAGACGATATTACTAATGTAAGTATCATAGGTCAAGGTCCGAAGATGACGACTAATTTACTCCATAGCGCTTAAAAAAAAATCTACACACACTCGAAAGATTGTTTAAATAATACATGAGGATTGTCGTAATCGTTGTCATAGCCGTTCTGGTCTTTAATCTTTATCGTCAAGTTTCATAGCGGAAATATTCAATGTTAAGTGACTAACGATAGTGATTATAAATATTATAATATCTATATATATATATTACAAAATATAATATGTAATCTATATTTATTTTTACTTAATTCTTTTTTTTTTATTTTATTGCAATAAAATATATAAGATAATATTTACTAATACAAATAA